GGGTCTTTCACTTTGCTGTGTAGAAGTTTCTTGTTCCATGTCTCCCATTTGTCTGTTTTCAGTTTTGTTTCCTGGTCTTTTGGTGTCATATCCGACATATCCTAGCCCATACCAAGCACGTGCAGATCTTCCCTGTTTTCTCCTGGTAGTTTCCTAGATCCAGGCCTTGGGTTTGGTCTCTGATCCACTTGGTGCTGACTTACACACGATGGGAGGGAGGAGTCAAGTTTAGCCTTCTACCTGTGGATCTCCGGTTCTCCCAGGGCCACTTATTGAAGACACTGTTCTTCCTTTAATGGGTGTTTTTCACCCCTTGATGGAGAATCCGTTGGCTACAGATGTGTGAGTGGGGTCTCCTCTGCCCATTGGTGGGCAGGCCTGGTTGTAGGCAGTGCCAGGCCGTCTGGGTCACTCCAGCTCTGCAGTACGTCTTAACATCAGGCTGCTGACTCTCCAGCTTTGTTCTCTGTTCAAGATTGCTGTCCTGGATATTTTATGCTTTTTAGGATTTTTTTTCTAGTTCTATGGAACATCGTTGATATTTTGATGGGGAATACATTGAATCTATAAATGACTTTGGGTTGTATGTACATTTTAACAATATTAATTCTTCCAATTTATGAACATGGCAGGTATTTTCATTTTCAATGTCTTTTCCAATTACTTTCATCAGTGTTTTGTAATTTTAATAGCAGAGGTCTTTCATTTCCTTGGCTAAATTGATTCCTAGTATTTCATTTCTTTTCCTGAATGAGAATGCTTTCATGATCGCAGAGAAGTGAGAGTAGGTGCCTTTGTCTTGTTCCAGAACTTAGAGGGAATGGATTCTGCACGGCCTACCTGTGATGTGGTGTGGGCAGTGGGTGTTTCGTAAGCAACCTTGATTATTCTGGGGAGTGATCCTTCTGTACCAAGTTTGTTTCAGGATTTCTACCTCAAAGGGATGCTGGATTTTCTCCACCCCTTTTCTACATCGATGAGATGATCAGATGCTTTTCATCCTCATCCTGTTAATGTGCTGCATTCTTGATTTGCATGTTTTGAACTCGCCTTTGCATCCCTGGGTTAAATCCTGGATCACGGTGAATGATATTTAAGATGTGTTGTTTGCTACCAGTTTGCTGAGAACTTTCTGCACATGTGTTCATTAGGGATATTGGTCCAAAGTTTGTAGTGTCCTTAACTAGTTTTGGTAACAGGGTAATGCTCACCTTACAAATAAGTTTGGAAGGGTTCCTCCATTTTAATTCTTGGACTAGATACAGAAGAATTGACATTATTTAAAGATACAGGAAAATTCATCAGTGAAACCATTCGGTCCTGGGTTTTCCTTGTGGGGAGACTTTGCATTACTGACTCAATCTCCCCGCTTGTTATTATTCTATTCACATCTCCTATGTCCCCATGGTTTGGTTCTGTAGGTATCACGTATGCAGAAAGTTGTTCATTTTGTCTAGGTTTTTCAGTTTGTAGGTAGATAGTGGTCCACATACTGATCCTTGTGTTTCTGTGGTGTTGGTTGCAATGTCTCCTTTCCCATCTCTGGTTTAATTCATTTGGGTCTTTTCTCTCTTTTTCTTGATTTGTCTAGCTAAAGGCTTGTTGGCTTTGCTTATCTTTTTAAAAACCTAACTCTTCATTTCACTGATATTTATAAGTTTTTTAGTCTCTCTGTTGTTTATTTCTGCTCTGATCTTTGTCATTTTTTCCTTCTACTAACTGAGGTTTAATTTGTTTTTATTAATCTAGCTCCATGTGATTCATTGTCTGGTTATTTATCTGAATTCTTTCAAGTTTGTGATATGGGTACTGATTGCTGTAAACCTCTCTCTTAG